AGAACAAGCTTAAATTAGCAGAAAAACATGTTTGCCCAATTAGGCTGAAAGAAGCAGAAACGAGCACAAAAAATGGAAATGATCTGAACAAAGCTGAAATTAGCAACAAAAAAACAAACAAACAAAAAAACAGCTGAAAGCTAAAAAAGCAGAAAGAAGCTTAAATTACCAGATTAAAGTGGAGAGAGAACATTTTTGCTGAATTAGGCTGAAAAAAGTTGAAATGAGTGCAATAAATGTAGAATTAGCTGAAAATGCTCAAATGTGCATCCATCCATCCATTTTCTTTACCCGCTTATTCCATTTTGGGTCACGGGGGTCGCTGGTGCCCATGTCCAGCAATCACTGTGCGAGGGGCGGGGTACACCCTGGACGGGTCGCAAGTCCATCACAGGGCCACACAGAGACAAACGAGACAAACAACCATTCACTCTCTCACTCACACCTAGGGACAATTTAGAGTTACCAATCAGCCTAACATGCATGTTTTTGGTCTGTGGGAGGAAACTGGAGTACCCAGAGAAAACCCACGCATGCACGGAGAGAACATGCAAACTCCACCCAGAAAGGCCCCTGGACCGGGGTTTGAACCAGGGACCTGCTCGCTGAGAGGCAGCAGCTCTACCAGTTGCGCCACCGTGCTGCCCCTCAAATGTGCATAAAACAGCTAAATAGAGCTGGAATAACTGAAACTAGCAGAAAACAGCTGAAAGGAGCATAACAAGCTGAAATTAGCAGAAATACATTAGAAGAAGCACAAAAATGTTGTAGTTAGCAGAAAGAATCTGAAAAGAGCACAATGAAGCTGAAAAAAACAGCAGAAATTGGTTGAAAGAAGTTTAAATTTGCACAAGTAATCTGAAAGAAGCTGAACTAGAACAAAATATGAAAGAAGCAGTAACAGGTTGTAAACAGATCTAAAGATTTAAAGGATGAAAAATGAGCTCAATTCATTTTCTATGAGAAAAAAAATGGCAGAAAAGGATAAATATGTCAAAAAGGTAAAGTTGCACCAATATCAAAATTCATATCAGGACTGTCCTGAAAGAGCTGAACATTTCGATATACCTGTTTGACTTATTGAAATAGTTAGAAAACTGCAGGACGAGATTCGTGCCAAAAACTTACAGAATAAAAATTTATCACAATAGTGTAAATGCTTAATAATCATTTACACTATTAGTTTATCTTGCAACTTCAGCTCAATTCATTTTCCATCCATCCATTACCTTTTACCCACTTATTCCATTTTGGATCACAGGGGTCGCCGGTGCCCATGTCCTGCAATCATTGTGCGAGGGGCGGGGGACACCCTGGACAGGTCGCAGAAGAGACAAATGAGACAAACAACCATTCACTCTCTCACTCACACCTAGGGACAATTTGGAGTTACCTTTCAGCCTAACATGCATATTTTGGGTCTGTGGGAGGAAACCGATGTACCTGGAGAGAACACACACATGCACAGAGAGAACATGCAAACTCCACCCAGAAAGGCCCCTGGACCAGGATTTGAACCAGGGACCTGTGCACTGAGAGGCAGCAGCTCAACCAGTTGTGCCACCGTGCTGCTCTCAATTCATTTTTTAAATTCTGTTTAAGTATATAGCACCAGTTCGCAACAAATTTATCTCAGGGCACTGTACAAAAACATTCACATACATAGAAAAGCAAATTAGTAAAGTTAAGTCTCTAAGGAAGCAGCAGACACATTGAATCTTCACTTTGTATCCGTCTCCCATCCTGAGCAAGCACAGTGGCAACAGTGGAAAGAAAAACACTTTTAAAAGGAAGGAACCTCCAGCAGAACCAGGCTCAGGACAAGTGGCCATCTGCTTAAATTCAAAACCATATGTGTGGCAGCACATGAGCCGAATCTTCATCAAAATATTTAAATCTCTTCTTTATTATTTTTTTAGTTATTTATTTTTATTTAGAAATTTATTCATTCATTAAAAATAAAATAACGATATACAATAGAAAACAAACAAACAACAACAAAACAAACAAAAAAATATATATATACAATCAAAAATAAAATGAAAGGCAGCAGAAGAAGAATAAATCTTATATCTGCCCTTTTTTTCCCCAGAATATATTCAACGAAAATAATTTACAAAAAAACAAAGCTAAATAAAAACAACATCAACTCAAACAACAATTTGTAAAGATGCACATTATACTTTTCCATATTCCTTTAGAAAACTAACTTAACATTTTCTTAAATATATACATAGATCTGGCAGTTCATCATCCTTCTGACCATTGAATTATAATAGATCGCTCCTTCAAACTGGTACGAAACCAACGCTTCACAAACATCTCTATCCCCTTAAGATAATAACCACTCTCCCTTTTAACAAAATTTACTTGGATATTTGAAGGCAGTATGTTTTTGTGAGCCTTATACATAAACAGTAAAATATTATAATCAACCAAGTCATAGAATTTTAATATCTTCAGTTGATAAAACAATGTATTTGATGGATGTCTATAATCTTTTCTACTGATAATTCTTACAGCTCTTTTCTGTAAAATAAAAATAGGATTTGTAATTGTTTTACATGTTTTACCCCAGACTTCAATACAGTAAATTAAGTGTGGGACAATTATCGCATTATACAACATAAACAGAGCTTTATCATTGAGCAACTCCCTTACTTTGTACAGTACTGCAATAGATTTAGCTATTTTTATTCTTAAATTATTCATGTGAGGTTTCCATGTCAGCTTTTCATCAATGATGACAACCAGAAACTTCACCTCACTGACTCTACAAATCTCAACACCATTGACTCGAAATGGAGCGTCGACAGTTCTCTTATTGTTACTGAATATCATGTTATTTGTTTTATCCAAATTTAATGATAATTTGTTAAGGTGAAACCAATTTTGTATTTTTACAAGTTCTGTCTGTACCAACGTCAACATTCATTCTATATTTTTACCCGAACAAAGAAATGTAGTATCATCTGCATATAAAACACATGTAAACAGTCCTGACACAGTAACCAGGTCATTTATAATAAGCGTGACAGGCCGAGGATACAGATGTACCTGCAGAGGACAGGGACAGCAGGGACAACAGAGCAGGAGTGGACAGAAAATCAACGTATAGTTGATGTACCAACTAGGCCTGTCGCAATAAACAATAAATCAATTAATCACATGATAAAATCTTATTTTCATTTATCGGCTTTTTTGTTTCTTCGTGTCTCTTTCTACTGAAGACACTGGATGACAAAAGGCACAACTCCAGTGCTTTTCCCTTTCGCTTTAAAATACATTTAAATCGTCCAAAATCACATTTTTTGGATCATTAAAAGCAGATAAGCTAAGAAGCTAAGCTACGAGCTAAGCTACGAGCTAAGCTAACAGGCCGACCTCAGTTAAAAACCTCCGTCTTGTCGAAGCTCCAAAATTCACGGTTGAAACCCGTGCCTTCGTGTGAAAAGTTGTTTTTCTCTGCAAAATGAAGCTGAGAACTTGTTTACTGATTTTTTTTATTTTTATTAAAAGCTTTGCGTGAAAAATGCTATGCTAAATTAATGACTAATTATTGTCAAATTTCAGACAATATTATCGTTTATTGCAACAATTTCTGAGATAATTAATCACTCAGCAAAAATTTGTCATTGTGGCAAACCTAGTACCAACACTGTTCTGTGTCCAAATAACAGAAAGTCAAGGCTTCTGGGAGATTTCAGATTTAAAATCTTTTTCTTCTCTTATTTTTGGGGGAAGGGGTGAGTCTGGAGACATTTTGTGTAGTTATTTAAGTTCTAATTCAAAATCCAACAAAAACGCATAAGGAAGAATTTCAGACGTTTATGGAACAAACCCGTATGAGAAGAAACACGACTGAAAATGTCCAAATATCCACGCAGCAAGTTTCCGCTGTTAGCAGAAACCTGACTGGCTGCATCAGTTGTGTCTTTATTTTCTGTCGCCATAAAAGGCCATCATGTAATCGCTTGTTTGAAAGTCTGTTAGCAAAATATCTCAAGAAACCCTGCACGGATTTTATTAAAACCCCCACACCGGATTAACGTTTGGAGTTTTCTTGATTCAGGATGAGCGCCACAACAACAACCAAAAAAATGTCTCTGACATTTTTGGCTCTGTCTTTTTGTTTTCACAGTCAGTGAGTATAAGTTTGGTGTGGTAGTAGCTGAGAGTCTTTAACATGACACAGTCCGAGCACTGACAGACTGCGGAACGTCTTTAAAAGGTTGACATCAAAAGGCTGCAGGCAGAAGAGCCTATAAGTTACACTATGACATTTCACTGAGCACAGAAAATAAAATGTGTTGCTCACACGACACACCTGGGAGTCGCCACAGTGCAAACACAATATTTGGAGGCAATTTGCTGCTGGGTGAACTGGGGGGGGGGGGGGGGGGGAGTGGTCCCTCCTTATGTGTACGTGTGAGACAAAGGTGAGGTGTCTCTTAAAGACCATCTCTGCTCTGCTCTGATTTTTTGCCAGCCCTCTGATGAGACCCCCACCCAACCCCAAGGTCACAGAGTGATTGAAAAAGGGGGGGATGGTGGGGGGAGGGGGGCTATCAGCTCCCATTTCCTGCTCCTGCTCTGACTCAGATGAGATTACTCCATCAGTGTCATCCAGGCATCTCTGGCAGACGGTGAACCTCTGGGCACCTGCGTCACTGCTCAGAGCCCCCTCCACGAGGAGAGGAGAGGGTGAGGGGTCCCTCCCCACCACCACCATCACCACCCCCAAACCCCACAGACATCCACGGGTGCTCTGATCGCTGTGTCACCCCCCCCCCCCCCCCCCCCCCCCCCCCCCCCATGAAGGTTCAGGGCTTGCCCCCCCTCCTGTCCAGCACCAATCTAAGATGGACACAAGGAGGGGGCGGGAAGGTTAGTTGGAAGAGAGAGGGGGTGGCAGAGCATCTTTGAGAGAGCACGCCAAATTATCCAATATTTCACCGCTGGAGGGGGGAGAGAGGGGGAGACAGCAGAGCTGCACAGCAGAGTTGAGGTAGGAATCAGACTAAACGTCAGAAGCTCATTAACTCCAAGGAGGGAGCGAGAAAGAACAGCAGGAACAGCGCTGGTGAGCTCCTCCCCCCTCTTCTTCTTCTTCGTTTTTTATTCCCGCTCATCCTCACCTGTCCTGGGTGTCTCGTGTCCGCTGGGTTTTATTGCACGTCTGGACGGGTCCAAATGAACGCGCCGCTTCGTCCTCGTGCAACACCTGCTGTCCGCGTGCGTCTACCGCAGTCAAACTAACAGGTCTCCGCTGACACGGTGCCAGAAAAGGTAACACGACGGCTCCACTAAGTGTTGTTTAGACAACAAATGTTTTTGTTGTTTTATGTTTTCAGCTGGGCTCGTGGCGACTGATTTATCGAGCGGCAACACAATGCGACACTAAAACAAAGGCTCCTTGTTACTTTCTGCTAATGGGTGATTAAGGAACAGAGCGCGTGACGTGTTGCTTTTTTTGTTTGTTTGTTTGTTTGGTTGTGTTGTCTTTTGAAGCTGATTGAAAATCCGCACCTGCACTCTGTTAACTCCAGTCTCGCGCTGTGACCCCGCGCGCGCGCGCGGATGCCGCAACATGAGAGAAGACTGTTGAGCAGGAGGAGGCGAACTTAACCTTGGAGATAACGGTCCCCCTTCATCATCATCTTCATCATATCTTCCACTAATACTTGTCGCTTTACTTTCACGAGCTCTTAACTTTAATATCAGCCTATAACATGAATTTAAAAATATATATATATTCACGTGATTGAGTGTTTTTTTTTCCCCCCAGACATGGATATAGTCTTTATTATTTTGAACTGTGTTGATGAGGAGACTGTAGCCCCCCTCCTGCTCCTCTGTAACCCCCTCCAGCCTCCTGTCTGACCACATATACATGATACATGGAGTCACACGTGCTGAGCAATGTCCAGCTGGAACCACGTCTCTGCAACATCAGAGCCAGTTTAAATAATTAACCTCCTCCTCCAACATCCCTCAAACTCTCCAAGTCATACATCGTGGAGATCATGTGAAAATGGGTCAGCAAATCGAAAAACAAAGCAGATCAGGCGTTTTCTGTTGGGTGACGACTCAAGCTAAACTGTTGGTTTAGTTTTGTTTTTTTGAGTTGACTTATTTTTTGATGCGTTTGTGAGAATATTGGGCTCTTAACTGAAATCTGGTTCTGGGCATTGAAGCCAAGTTGTAAAACTGATTAACACTCAGAAAGGGCAGTTTCTTCAATGGTCCCTCGAGGCTGCTTCCATTGACTTAAAGGGAGTTAATCTCCATAGATCCATGTGTCAAAATGTCCAACCGTGTGGCAGGAAAACAAATCACGTTTAACACCTGTGGTGGAAAAGATGGTTTTAATTTCCACAGCTAATAGATGCCTCAACGTTGAGCTATAAAGAGCCACGGTGGAGCAGTGTTTATAGTTGTCTCACAGCATGAAGGTTGCAGGTTCAACTGGCTACAGCCTCTTTCGTCCATCTTGTTTGTCTCCATGTGGACCTGTTGTGGGCATACCCCACCCCTGGTCCCCAGGGCTGCTGTAGCCATAGCTCCCAGCAACCCTGCACAAAAGAATGGAGGAAAGGCTAACAGAAAAGAACAATCCTGTTTAAGGTGAAAAATGATGTGATGTTCTGGAAAGGATAGGAACAGTTAATATCTTACCTGTTGCTGGTATTTTTAATGACCTCTGCTCGGGAAAATGGAGTCCAGTTTTAACGAGCTAATGGTTGGTCCAAGCAGGGTTGAGACTTAACTATACCCATCTTAAAAAAAAAAGAAATATAAAAAACAATCCAAAAATATTAATTGCTGTTGACTTGAACTCTGTTGAAAAATGTTTACGCTGCTGTCAGTTTGACTGTTTTTATTTTTTGCCAGAAATACAAATGTCCAGTTTAAAATGCTTGAGGGAGGACCAGAAGTGCTAGGTTCTGTTGCTAGTTGTAATTGCAAAAGCTTACAAATCCGGTGTGAGTTTGTGTTGTAATGGTAAATTGACCACATTGTAAAGAGTAATAAAATAATGTTGGCTTTAACTGCTCAGACTGTAGATTTAAGAACCACAGAAACGTACTTTGGACCTGTTCCCATTAAGACTTCATGAGCTAATAACTTAAGGCTACAGCTAGCTGCTGCTTTAGCTGTTTGCACTGGCAAAAAAACAACTATAAAATTAGATGTAAATAAACAGATATTGTGAAATAGATGGAAACTTAAAATTCTAATATTGTATTTGCAAGGTCTTGAACCAGGAATTGCTTTGAGTCACTTTTGGTCCCACTCAGACTAGCCATTAGCTCATCAGACCTATAAAAATAAAGTATTGAGGCTGTTAAAAGTAATCCAACAGGTAAGATATTAATTGTTCATACTTCTCCACAGGACCTCAATTGATTTGAATGATTGATTTAGGGCTTATAGTATTGTAAAGACATACATGGGCTGCACAGTGGTGCAGTTGGTAGAGCTGCTGCCTCTCAGCGGGCAGGTCACCAGTTCAAATCCCGGTTGGGGGCCTTTCTGGGTGGAGGTTAAATGTTCTCTCCGTGCATGCGTGGGTTTTCTCCAGGTTCTTCGGTTTCTTCCCACAAACCAAAAGCATGCATGTTAGTCTGATTGGTAACTATGTGTGGATGGTTGTCTCGTTTGTCTCTGTGTGTCCCTGTGATGGACTGGAGACCTGTCCAGGGTGTCCCCTGCTTCTCACACAGTGACTGCTGGATATGAGCATCAGTGACCCCCGCAACCCGAAAAGGAAGAAGTGGGTAAAGTGGATGGATGGATGGATGGATGTATAGGCAGACATGCTTTGAGCTCTTTGACCATCAGTGCCGTGACAATTTCTTAACGGAGGCTCATAATACTCCTCAGATTCTTTGTCCCATCTCTTCATGTCTGCTAAACTGTACAATGAAATTCTAAGCTATAAACTAATAATGACATCACATTGGCATTTAGTTCTCGTATTTTCTGTCTGCTTGGTTTGAAATGAAGTTGACACGGTAACGCCCAACACCAGGCAGGACTATGATGTTGCTTGAATTTTGTCCTAATCTTTTAATAATTTCCTCCCAGCCTGAGTCTGAGGTCGTGCTCTGGCTTTAATTACTGGACACCTTTTAGGTTAAAGTTCCAAGATGTAGTTGACGCCGAAGATAATTCCCCTTCTTTGCATCCTGTCTTTTGCATGCCCAAAGTGCCAGTGTTTGTGCACATGGCATTGTTTTTGCCACACGTCTGCATGCGCTGTAACGCACCAGCATGTGTAGCTCCTCTCAGCCTGCACCACACAAGGCTCATAACACGATGACTCCCTGGACTTGAAAGTGTGACCACGAGTAAATGACTTTGCCAGCTTCTTCATCTGTTGGGACATACGGAGCACCCCCCCCCCCCCCCCCCCACACACACACACACACACCCTCATCTCACTGTAAAAAGAAGGCAGATCTATTGTCCGGTTAAAGAAGTGTAATGAAGTGGGTGTTTATTCTTTCCGAGAGCCAAAGACAAACAGACTGTGCTTTTATGACTTGGAGAATTTGTTTGTCTTTGCTCTCGGAAAGAATAAACACCCTCATCTCACTGTAAAAAGAAGGCAGATCTATTGTCCGGTTAAAGAAGTGTAATGAAGTGGGTGTTTATTCTTTCCGAGAGCCAAAGACAAACAGACTGTGCTTTTATGACTTGGAGAATTTGTTTGTCTTTGCTCTTCCTTGGGCTCTGCGTGCACTTGCAGTCAAATAAACCATGAAGCAAAGACAGAGGCAGATTGTTGCAGGGGTTTGCATTTGCATTATTGTTCCTTCAGGCACTGTGAGGCATGATGCAGTAAGATGCGTAAGATCTCAAGTGATTACAAAAGAAATGAGGGTAATATCTTCTATTGTGTTTGAAGGCACCTTTTCGTCGTTCGGTGCTTTTTGTTTTAGACAGCTGGTCCACAGTTTTAACAGAAAACGTTTGTTTGAGAGGTCGTGTGATGAGGTACATCATGTTAGTCAGGCTGACACTGGACTGAAGCATGAAGCAACCATCTAATGATGATAATAACAGTTGACAGACTGTAATCATGAAAGCCCTTAAATCTATTGAAGCCTGCGCCACAATCACATCAGTCATGAACAGTGAGCTCCGAGGGGAAATTTACAGGTTATCTCCACGCTGTGACAGACAATGAGGAGTCAACAGTGAGGCAGCTAAAACTGGGTAAAAAGGGATAATTTGGACAATTTCAAAAGGAATTATGGAGAAAGGTCATGAACAGTAAATATCTTACCTGCGGTAGATGGCTCTTTGATTGACCTTTGTGAAGAAAGGGAGTTTGTTTGATGGGATTGATGAGCTAACGTTGAATCTGCACGTAGCCATGCACAAAATGGATTTCAGCTGTCAGACCTTTTCCAAGTGGAAACAGTTTTTCCAAAATAATAATTGTAGGTGTTTTAAATAAATAATTTATTCTAGAAATGTCTTCACCCACACAGAAACACTTAACAACCCAAAACATTTTAGTAACTATGCCAGGCGTATATGTGGTGCTGTAACACTGCCTCAAAAATACCCCAAAGACAAGAAACAAGTTGTGAGTGTGCACATAAAGCTTACTGTGTGTCAAGTTTACACGAAAGAGGATGACCCCCTCCCGAGTTTTAGGTTTGATTAGAGGTGGGGTTATGACTAAACCTGTCATAACAAATTTTGCTGGGCTATTAATTGTCTCAGAAATTATTGTGATAAACAATAATGTTGTTTGAAAATTCACAATAATTGGTAACTGTCAAATTTAAGAAGAAATGTTAATTTTTGTGCAATACCTTTTTCACCACCAGATGGCAGTATAAGACTGAACCGAAGGATGGCTAGTGAGGGAGCGAGCAGTGTGTCTCTAAGAAAAATGGGAGGGAGGCCCCTTGATGTGACAGGGGCTGTCTCTTTTTCCTGCTTTTTGGTTCTCAAAATGTCGGACGCTCCGTGTGGTTTGAGCTCTTTTGCATAGCTTTTTTTTTAACACAAAGATTTTAATTAAAATAATCGGTAAACAAGTTCTCAGCCTCTTTTTGCAGA